AAAAAAAAAAAAAAAAAAAAAAATCGCGCCATTCAGCCACTTTGTCATCCAATCACAAATAAAACTAAAACCTACGAGGCTTGCACGTAAGTGCTTCTCCGCGCTCTGCGTCAGCTACGTGTTTGATTATTTCACTGTATTGTCTCTGTCCATTGGTTTTGGGTTTACAATACTCAATTGAAAACCGCTCAAATAAAATTCTGATCAGTAATAACTTTCACTGGATAGACCGAACTTTGTATAGTTAACAAACTTTATGCCAACCTTCCCGTCCATTCTTTAATAAACTTGAACTTTAAGTTTATTAGCTACAAGTAGTATCAACCTTTCATGCGTTTTTTATACCAGAGGGTTTTTCAATTATGTAACGATATGGCGCAATACGGCAACACAACATAAAATAGAGATCGCACCTTTTTCTTGTTCCAGAGCTGACTTGATAACCTTGTCTGACTTTTCGTAGTTCTTTAGCTTAAGATACAGCTCAGCCAAGTCGTACCTGACAATAGAAACACTTTTTAGAAGGCAACTTATTAAGTTACGCATCGTAGTCAAAAGGTAAACCAACCTTAAAAAGTTCTGCTGTCCTGTTTTCAAGGCAGCTTCATAATAGTTGATGGCCTGCAAAACGAAATGAAAGACCTCAGTATTTAGCAAAGAAAGAACGTCAACAACAACTGGGAAATCTTCACGAGTGTTACTAATATGCGAGTCAGCGAGGTATTAAAAGGCATGCGAGCTAGGATCCATAACCTAATAAAAAGGCTAACCACAAGCTAATCAAGCTAACTTAGGCTAACCAGAGTGCTATTTAGGCTAAACGGAGTGCTAGTTAGGCTAACAGGAGTGTTATTAGGGCTAACAGGCAAGCGAGCCATGCAAGCCAGTAATCCCAACTAGCCACAAGCTACCTGAACTGACCGCAAGTTAACAAAGCCAACTTTCTTGGGAGAGGTGGTGGTGGGGGGAAGCGGGGAGGCGGGGAGAGCTTTTTAGGTTAACCAGGAACCAGCTTCTATTTAGGCTAACCAGAATGTTATTTAGGGCTTACCGGAATGGCTTGCATGTTGGCTCGCATGACTCGCGGGTTCGCACTTTGTACAGACCCAATCTTGACGAATTATTGTCAAACAAGCCAGAAGCACCAACCTTGCCGTAATGGTGTGTCTTGACCAGCGCTTGGCCTATTTTGCTCGCTAGTGCTCCATCTCTTGGATTTCGCTTCAGAGCTGTCTCATACACTTCAATTGCTTTCTCAGGCTTGATTCAGCAAACAAACAAACAAACAAACAAACAAACAAACAAACAAATCAGTAAATATCACAAACTCAGATTCCTTGAATTAAGATTCTGAGAGCTTTCCTTCTGGATGTAAGATACGGAAAAGTTTCGGCTTTTTTGAATGAAGGGCTGCCAAAGACGTCACTTTCCTTCCCTAGACTTTCTGAAGCACAAATTCTTTGAAATACGGCATCGTCTGGGAAGGCTACTGTTAAGCGAAGAACAAACACTCACCTCCTGTATACTCATGTATGCATCTCCCAACAGCAAACACGTGTGAGAGTTTGGATTTTTGTCGACTAGTTCTCTGCAGGAAAGAAATTCAAGAATAACTCTCGCTCACTGCTAGTGCACTTAGAGTAATTGGAATATCCTCTTTGTTTCCATTTTTTCTTTTCAGAGTAAAGGCAGACTATATAGGTCCGGCTGGCTCTTGACAAACATGCTTGTAGGTTGCTCTATAGTAACAAAATGTTCAACAACTCGGCATTGATGATGTCGACTTTCGACAAAACAAAAATAGATACAATTGCGATGGACTGTTTTAGTTCATGATGATTCCTGCCTTAACTTTCCGATTAGGACCTCACCTGTAAACGCTGGCATACAACCGCTTGTCCTTACGATGATGTAAATAGATCTCTGCCATCTTTTCTTTAGCCTTGATGTAATAACTGTCAATCAATCAATCAATCAATCGCTCGATCGATAAGTCAGGAAGCGAATTAAACAATGCCTTGTCACCCAATCCAAAACAAATGACCCTATTTCCTTCTACCCCCGACTTTCCAACGATTTGGGTGGAGCTACTCGATAACCTTGATGTCAAAGTTCCAAACAAACCAACTTTTTCAAGTTTACGAAAACCACCAAATGAGCACACAACCTTTGTCGAACACTCCAGCTACATGTATGAGTGTAATTAATGAGCACTGCTACTAGTTAGGTCATACTTGTGTTTACTTCTACTACATATATGGCTCACGACCAGTTGAAAATAAAGAATACGTTCTGAAAACAGGTCACTCTGTTTAATTCTTGTTTCTGGTGTAATTACGCTAGTTTGATCCTCATTTTCACTTGTTCAGTATTAAAATCATGACGAGAAAGAAACCAAAATACAAATCTGACTAATTTAAAAATTTCGAAACACGAGAAAAATTTAAAGCACAACGTACAAACCTTTGTTCTGGAGTAATTTGCCTGAGTATAGTCAAGGCTTGCTCCGTGTCACCGTTCTTTAACACCAGGTCTGCATTGGAAATCTGAACCCTGATGACACGGTCAAATGACAGTGAGTTGCAGCATATTATCACTTTATTCACATGTTGTACTCATACTGAGGGGCATCTTATAAGTAATAGATCAAACACGAAAGACCGAGTTTGACCACATTTCCAAACACACCAAGAAGAGAGTTGAACAAACGACGCGCGGCGCAGTATTTTTGACGAACCTTGAGGTGTTTGGAAATGTGGCCAAACACTGTCTTGAGTGTTTGATATATCTTCTCAATCGATGCTAAAACTAAGGAGAAAACGGAGAAATAAAATCGTAAATTAAGATCAGATATCCACACACCGTCACGGCCATGACTTCCTTTATTTAAACTTGATGAATTGTTAATGAGTTTGAGAATTACAAATTTTCCTAATGAGGAAAAGTTTCTGGGGAAGAAAAAGTCATGGGACTCTGTAAGAACCCTGGTCAGTATAAATCGAAGTGGATGGGAGGAGAATGTCTGAGCGTATGTACCTTATGACATGGCGAGATTAGGAAAGTACTGAAGAAAAATACCAGAGGTGATAATGAACCATCATCGACCACATAGTTCTAGTTAAGATTATGAACCACCCTCCTAGAGAAAGTAAAACTAAAGTTTTCAAGATACGTTATAACTGGCATAGCGCCTTTAAGTCAAATAACTGCAACCAGTTCTACTCTAAGGATTGGTCAGTCATGCAAACTAAGAAGCAATCAGAATTAGAAGTGAGGGGTGAGGTGCTTGCGTAACACTACTAACCTGACTTCTTCAGGCGTGCCACCGAACTCATGCAAGGCATCCTGCATAACTTTGGTAGCCTCGTGCTGCAAAATAAGAAACCAATTTATTGAATATTTCATGTAATATATCACGAAAGACCAAAAGACCGTGTTTGACCACATTTCCATACGACACGTAGAGGAGTATTTTTGACGAACTTCAAGGTGTTTGAAAATGTTGTCAAACACTGTCATGAGTAAAAATCTATGGTTATGATTTCCTTCCTTCCTGAATTGTTAATTAGTTTGAGAAGGGGAAAGCAATGTGGCCTGTTCTTAGTAGTGACCAACA